ATGTTTGTGAATAGGCGCTTATCTAACATTGAATATGAATTGATAAAATAAGCACTGAACGAGACAATTACCAAAATTCGAAATATGCTAATTTTTGTTTGCTCTGAATGTCAACTGCTTGTACATTAAGCTAATAAGGTTTAATGATAGCATTACCAACTTATTTGCATACTAAATTCACTAATTTATGAGCAGTTCAATTTATGCTTTTCCGCTGCGCATAACAATTGCGCTTTGTTATTTATTGGAGAGACAGTTCTCAGAGTAAGTGTCAAAGGTTAAAATAATACATTCCAATGAATGCCACCTGCAAGGACATGCATGTTGTCATTGCCCACCAAAGTGACCATTTTCGCACAAATCCAATTTGATAAATTTGCTTTGTATTAGACCATAATTTTCTCAGTCGGAATTTCACATATTCTGGATATGTCGTTGGTTCATCAAATTGTTTCGTATCTGAAAATTATTTTTATTCCTTAATTTAATTACGTGAATATTTTTGGATGAAATTTAATCCAAACATTTTATTAAATGTCTTTTAAGCATTTAAAAATAGGGTGCTAATTGCAGATATTTTATTATTGCTAACAGTATGTCGAATATTTTTAACAGGAAATATATTGAAAGTAATTAATGATCATATTATAATAAATTAAGTTAAATAAGTTATTACTTTACATGGATTAAAATTATTACTTAAGTAATTAAATAATAAAAAAAAATCGAACCATTGGTAATTTTCACTCGTTCATGCAATATTTTCCATTGTACTCGTGGAAGATAAATTCCAATAATGAATACAATAATTGGTGAAATTAAGGCAACCTGATTTATTGTTAAATAAGTTCCAATATTAATGGATATAATTGCTTGGCTTAATAAATAGCTAAATGTTCGTCCAGCCATTGATGCTGCTCGTGTCCAAGATGTTAGCCTTTGAAAAAAATAAAAAAATTTGTAATTGCCAAAAATAATTGTTATAATTATATTAACTGTTATTATTATAAGTTTGAATGAAACAAAAATCGTTTTTTTCAATCGAACTAATTATTCATTTTATTTTGCTTTTTTTTTAAGAATATGAAATTAAAAAATTTATTTTAATTCTGAACCGAAAAAATTTATTAAATTTTAAATTGAAGAACTAGAAATAAAATTATTTAATTAATTAAATCAAGACGTTGGCGTTTGTATATTTAAAAATTTTAATAAATTATGCACCGTTTATAGTCATCTTTTGTAACTTTTGCATAAATGTAAGAATAAAATGCAATTTCAGTTGCGGATGCAATACCATATGCTGCCATTCCAATTTGTTGCCAAAAAATTCCCGTACCAAATACTAATAAAATCCTATATCGAAAATTTGAAATGATAATTTTTATTTTTAAAATAATATAAAAAAGTATTATGTATGGAAAAATATTTTATGTATATTTGTATTTTTATTCTTTTTCCGCATTAATTATTTCATCGTGAATAATCTGTATTGGAAATATTTCGATATAAAAGTTACACTTAGAATTTTCTAGAAAAAACAAAAAATGTAAGGATAATTCACCTGAAAATCATACAACCAACACTTTCCAAAATAAGAATTGGTTTATAAAGTAGCAAATCAGTTAATAAGAAAATTGGAATAAGAGTAATCAAATAACTATATGTCCAATATGGATATATCTGAAATGAATTTTACGTTCATTTGTCTGAAATGGTTGATTATGTTCAAATGCATATTAATTAATAAAGTAATCAATTTTCTTTCTTTCAACTATTTCACTATCCAAACTAATAATAATGGTTTTAATTATTCAAACATTTTTAGTAGTTGGTAAATTTAAGGTTAATCTTTTAAGGTTATTTAATTAATTTGTTTTAATTCTTTTACACTTACAAATAGTACAAAATTCACAGATGAACTTAAATAAATTAAATCATTCAAAAGGTAACATTAAATAATTTCCAGTGACCTTTGTTCAATAATATTGAATAACTCCCAGTGACCTTTGTTCAATGATTTCTAATTAAATTTCGTTCATTTCTAATTAAATTATTCCTGGTAATTATTGTTGCGTAATTTGTTTTTTCGTAAAAAAATCAATAATAACGTACTTCACCATTGAGTTGTTTTTTGGTAAGGTTTAGAAAATTGGTTTGATATTTGAATAAAAATGGTCCACCAGGTTTGAAATCTTTGAGAAAACCATAAAGTACCAGTGATATGCAAAATAAAATCCATGACATGTTTGTTTTATTGCTCATAATTGAAAAATTAATGGTAATATTATTCGTGAATTAATTATGTTTTCAAAAGAATTCGAAGCTAAACGATTCCAAATATCGAAGAAATCTGAAAAAAAAAAATGAAAATTATTGTCAAAATAGAGCAAACGTGATAGATGACATCAAATTTAATTCAATGTTCAAAAATATTGAACATTTCACGTACATTAAACATAATTAAATTATCATATATTTGAATAAATCTTGCGAAGGATAAAGGAATTTTAATCATATTTCATTTTTTTTTTTTGATTTAATTGTAAAACTAATAAAATGATCAACATTCATACCGTTTTCAATATCCTTTAGTAAATAATCTCTTTCACGCTTAGTTCGATGTAATAAAGTTTAGCTAAAAGCTAAAAATTAGCTATAAATTTGAAAATAAAAGGAAAATGGAAAAAGTTTTATTAATTATAATTTTTTCCAGTAATTTCTTTTGAATTAGCCTATAAAACTTCCTTAATAATTGAGTAAAATCTTGCTCCATGTTAAAAATTGACTGAAAAATGTAAAATTTTTATCAAAAATCAATTGATTATTATGTTATTGATAAACATTTTATTAAAAAACTTCAAAAAAAAAAAAAAGAAAAAGAAAATCTTAGAAATTTCAATTTTTAATAAATTTATGTATTAGTGAATGCATATGTGAGTATAAACTTGGTAAAAAAAAAATATATGTCTAATAGAAAATACATAAGTTCAAATTTAAAAAAAAATGCATATTTAAGTTTCGAAATTAATCAATGCTAGTTAAAACTACTTCATATATGAAATTCATTTTCACCAAAACAAACCATTTAACATCTATGATGAACATAATGATAACTAATTATCAGTAAAATAAGACATGAAATGAATATTTGAAATTGTTAATGATGAAACAATCAATAATAATCATTGGTAACCATCCATATCTGATCGTCGATATGAATGTTTAATTATTCGGTTATTTGCATGCGTTTATACTATTTCTTTTCATACAAATTCATCTTTTTTTTTTTTTGTAATAAAATGATAATCAAATAAAAGTGAAGGAAGTATAAAAGTTAAAGGTCAACGATTAGTTTAGTTATAAAATAAGCGCATATGCATTTGATGAATATAAAGGGTTTCATTTAAAATTTTTCGTTCCTTATCAATAGTGATAGATTAGCATATTTAAATAAATGTAGCGTAACATTTCATCTATAGAAATTTCGGGAAATTTATTAATTTTACTTTAATTGAGAGAATTTATTAATTTTACTTTAACTGATTAATTTTACTTTAATTAATTTTATTTCATCTGTAGAAACTTCGGGAAATTTATTAATTTCACTTGTATTGAGAGAATTTATTAATTTTACTTTAACTGATTAATTTTACTTTAATTAATTTTACTTCATCTATAGAAATCTCGGGAAATTTATTAATTTTACTTTAACTGAGAGGCATAGTACTTTATGAACAAAAGTATTAAATGTGCTTAGCACATCATTTTATACATGAAATGATACGCTAAACGTGAGTGCTCAAGTGATATGCTAAATTAGAGAAACTTAATAGTAATTAAATTTTTCTATACAATAGTAATTAAACTTTAAATCCTATACAATAGTAATTAAACTTTAAGTCCTATGCAATAGTAATTAAACTTTAAATCCTTTACAATAGTAATTAAACTTTAAATCCTATACACTTAATTGCACGACAAATTGGTATTTGATCGACAAAAACAGATTTCAACAAGGAATACAAACCAACAATTAATAACATGAAAAGAAAACAGTTTTAATAAAGAGTAAAATAGAGATGAAATTAATTAAAACAAAAAATGAAACACAACATTCAACAAATATCATTTGTTCATATATAAAAATCAGGCTAAAATGCTAAAATTTAAGTACAAAAATGGATTATGAAATTTAAAATAGAGCAAAAAAAAAGAAAAAACTTATTTTTTTTGAACTTTTGATCATATCATTACTAATGCTAGCATAATTTAGTGTAATTAAATCTTACAAAGATCCACGGATTCTTTCACTCACTTATCCATACTTGGAATTTAATTACTTTTACGTCATTAACAAATATTAATAAATTTTGAGGAATAAATATTTAAAAACTGACTGTTACATGCTTAATTATAGTACAGAAAATTTCAAAGATTAAGATAAAATTAAATTTTCAATAAAAAGAAAACAGTTTCAGCGGAAAAAAAAAAAAAAATAGCAAACAAAATTGATGTTACTTGTCTAAAAAATTGGCTCTAGTAAAATTGGTAAATAAAAATAAAGGAAGGGGTAAATTTAAAATGGTGTAAAAAAAATTATTTTCCATGTTCTGTTCATAACATCATTAATCATAGCATACATTACTACAAACAGGTTTTTACTTCCAAAGATCCACAAATTCTTCCGGTCCTTTATCACACATATTTGGAATTCAATTGCTTTTACATTTATTATTATTTCAAAAAATTGAAAGTGTTTTGTCCTTCCATTTTTTTTCTTGTCCTCTTATTTCTAAATTTTTCTCGATTTTTCTTTTTTCATTATTTCCTTCTTGTTTTCTTTTTATTTTTCCTGTTTCATCTTTTTTCATTTTTATTCTTTGTTTTTTATCCCTTTGATTTTTTGCCTTTTTTCCACTTTTCATTTTCTTAATTTTTTCTTTTTTTTT